GGATGTGCTATAGAGTGCATGGTGCTTTGCCTAAACCAAAGAACTTATCTTCTGACCTCTTTTTTTAACCATATTATTTAGTCCCCAAGCCTTCAGGTTAGAGTTGGATCTCCTAAAAATTGTAGCTATAGATGAATTTACTGAAATGTTCTTGACTCTGAAAACCATCTGGGCATTAGCAATAATAAGAAGCCATGATTCACAATCTCAGTCCACAGAGCATCTCATGCTACCATTCCAGAAGTAAAATTCCATCTGTAGTCTCTTGTACTAAAGCTGTATCTCTGGGATGGAAATTTCCTACTGGGTGAGATACTAAAAGAACCCAAACAAATCTTCTATAGATAAACCAGGGCTGAACAAAGCTGAGTCACTGTTAGCATTAGTCATGGGCTTGTCTTTGAGCTTCTCAGTCCAATTCAGCTTACTTCCTTAAAGTTTTCCCTGTTTAAAAATCTGCTGAGGTTTTATACCTTTATGGTTACCCTCTAATCCCTTGAGCTGGTCTTGTCCCACCCCAAGGCCTGTTCATACTAACAATTCCTACCTTCCTCTTGCTCAAGTCCCCGTATATTACTCATTTCATATTTCCTCTTTCTTTCATTGCCAACAAGACACCTTAGCATCAGGGTAGGATTTCTAGTCATTATACACCAAATTCTTATAAAACTGACTATGTGCTTCCTGAAAGGGGAAGAACTTTACTACCCTCCTTGATTTAGAAGAATGTGATCGCTGTTTCGCAGGGTTTATATGAAGATACTTTTCCACAGCAGCCACAGAGAACTAATGGTTTTCCTAACACAACTAGAACATGTATTAAAATATGACAAGAGAGAATTTTTCCTCTATATATAATTTTAAAGTCAAACTGACAGAAAGGATTACGTAGGGTCCTTCTACTGGCTCCTGTTGGTACGTGGAAGAAACGTGGAATCTCTCTTTTCGATAAAAATGGAAACCAGAACTAAAATTCTAGCTTTACCTAAGAGGTATGTATGGTTATAGGAACACCTCTCTTATTCTGACTCAGCTGTCCAATAATCTCATCCTCCTAGACACACAGGCTTTGAACACTCTCTCAGAAGAGAAGGTACTAAGTCATTGCACAAGTGCACATGTACATTCCCCAAGGACTGCCTCAGCAAGTCCCAAGTAGAAACTCAGACTATTACTCTGTGTGTGTGTGTGTGTGTGTGTGTGTGTGTGTGTGTGTGTGTGTGTGTGTGTGTGTGTGTAATTCCTTCTCTGGTTCCCATATCCAAGTAACCAGAAGCTACAAATCAGAAGAGGTAAGGGTAGTCATTAAAGGTGGGCACACAGGCATTCTAAAAGCATTGACAAGAAAATAAACAACAACAAGACTTAATAATCAAATGAAATAATTCAAATTGTACAGTGGTAGAGGGCAAACAGCTTGAGCTACCTCAGCAGGCCCCAAGGGCATCACTGTATTCAGCATAATATAGTAACTGAGCTTCATGAAAATGATGACTCTGAGTCTACAAGGGGAAAGAAATTATCCTCAGTAATCTCTAAGAAAGAAAATGTAAATTAAAAAAAAAAATCTATATAAAATGATGCTTAAGAGGTGTTCTTCTCAGACAGATGGAAAACTTAGCTATAATGATATTCCTTGAGTGGTTCAAATGGCTGAAGTTTTATTGTATCTAGCATTTTAATCCTTAAACATCTCACCCACAGTTATTTTAGCATGTTCCTATTATATGAAAATGCTTTTAAATACTTGCTGAACCCTGGATTAATAAAAGGATATATGGAGTTTTGTACTAGTGTAGAGACATCATAGCTCCCCATGGAACAGTATCTCATCATGGCTGCCTAGAGTTTGCAATCAAATACCCAAATAAGAGAGATCACTTGGGCAAATGTGCATTTTCACAAGCACATTTTGAAGAGGAAAGAAAAAAATACCTAAACAAATTTGACCCTAATATTTAGATAAGCCTGATACTGAACTGCTATTTAACACTTTAAGTAATCATTACTGCCAAATATTTACATTAGTACTTGTAAAGCCAATTTTAGGCCAGTAGCTACCTGAGGAACCACAAGGCAGTGGTTTGCCACACACTTTTCCACATGAGGGGACAGGATCCATGCATGTTTTCCGACCACTACTTCCAAGTTCCAGCAATTGGCTGAGAGGAGTCTGGCCACAAGGGCAAGAGCGCACCAGCTGGGGGAGCCGAGGGCACGGCTGGCAGGGCCGAGGGTGGCATACTTGAGAACATGTATGGTTCCCACATTTCAAGTCCCTGTTAAGAAAAACAACAGACTATTACATAACTGTTGCATAAAATGCAACTTTATTCTCACTGAGAAAAAAAGTAAAACCTTACTTGCCACATATCTTTAAACAGCCAAAGTCCCCAAATCCATCAGACTTTCCTACATCTGTTCCACATAATACGTCTTGGGAGGTACTGCCACAGTAGCATACTTGAGAGATAATTTCAAAAACAAAACATTAGTAACCTGTGTGGGTTCTTCAAACAGTCAAAACAATTCATTTTTAAGGAAATACAAAATGTGATTCATTAGAGTGTTGCTAAGACCTAATGCAGAAATGAGTGTGGTTTATACAGCAGCTCTAAGACCCACTTAAGAACTTTATCATAGAAGAAACAAAAAAGGCCTTGTTAGACTCTTATCAATAGCTCATAGACCCTCTACAGCACAAGAATAGCAATAGAGTGAATCAATCACCTAAATTAAGAGAATACCATCTGGTCCATAAGACCGTGGTTTTCAACCTGGATTGTGAAGCTCCCTGGGGTCCTTAGGAGACGGAGGTTAAGCTGGTGGTAGTGGTGGAGTGGTTGATGCCTGGGTCCCCCTACCTCACTTCAACCCAAGCAGCATAGATTTCATGCTTTAGATACTGGGGTTCACATAAAATGCTTGGAAAAAGTTCCTGCTGCTAAAAGAAATGCAAAAATAGGCACGATGATATAAAATCCTTAATAATTTGTATCCTACTATTGCTGAATTTGAAGTAATCATGTTTGAGTATTCACAATGACTAAAGCATTTCAAATAACTTGTGACGTTTATTTGCTAGAGAAATCTAGTCTAATACCTATAGACTTTCCATGCTTTAAAAAAAAAATGGATTGCTTTATTTCCTGAAGTCAGCAATAAATATGTCATTTTTAAGGAGTTATGTTTCTAATGCATCAATATATAACACATTTCTGATAAGAATTAATTTTACCAAGTAACATAATTCTTCTGAACAGTGTTACTTTACATTTTCAGTTTATAATGAAACTTTATCTCATTAAAACTGACCTATGCAAATATACCTTGCCCTACATAATAAATGCAGCCCTGGTAGCACAGTGGTTAAGAGCTTGTCCGTTAACCAAAAGGTTGGCAGTTCGAATCCACTAGCCGCTCCTTAGAAATTCTACGGAGCAGTTCTACTGTGTCCTATAGGGTTGCTATGAGTCGGAATCGACTTGACGGCACACAGCAACAACACCATAATAAATGCAGACCAGAATAGTAGAAACGAAATTAAAATTCTGCAGAGCTAATGATGTTATCCTTCTTTTTCAGTATAACTTAGATATCTACTTGCACAGAAAACGAACATCAGAAAAATTACAACACTATAAAAACATGTAAAATCTTAAAATCACATATTTAATTTTTAAAAAAAAGAATGCTTCTAAAAAAACATTAGAAATAATGCTCATGAAATAAAATATTATATTGAACAGAACCAAAAACGTTCACTGGGACATGGAAAAGAGAAAGCCTCAAATTATTGAAGATGGGGTCAAGAGTTTAAAATACATGTTTCATCTTCTTTAAGTACAAGCGCAGTTTCATCCCCCTACTCTAATACTCATTCATTCATCCAATAAAGGCTTATTCGATAAATCAACACAGATGCTGGGAATGCAATCAGTATTTGTGAGATCAAAGAACTGGTTTAAAAAAAAAAAAACCCTAGCAACTGGAAGCTTCTGCAAGTAGGCTTTTCTATGCTAAGTTTCTGCTCAAACAAAAAAGGGGCTTTTTTCAGAGATACTGAGTAGACAGCTGTGAACAGAAGGGTCAAGGGTCAGAAGACTGTGACAGTGAAAGCAAAATGCAGCCACTGATCAATCAGGGAACAATCTGAGTACAATACTAAAAAGCTCTGTTATGCTTAGGCACAAGAGACAGAAATATGACCTAGACAGGAAACTTAGGTGGACTCATAGCTAATTAAAGGGTATTAAGGAACCAAAGCAGGAAGGTCTCTATTGCCAGTCTTAACCTGTTCAGCACTTTTATCAACATGTGAATGAGGAACCAGAAGCCATGCTTATTAAATCTGTAGATAAGGCTGAATAGAATTCTAAAAGAATTATAATTTGAGAAGATAAACAGACTATACACATGGGCAAAGCATTTGCTAGCTATTTAATGTGGACAGTCTTGCAACTGGGTTTGAAAAATCAACTACGCAGAAAAAGGAGGATGAGACTGAGATCCATGAGATCCATGTAAAAGACTTGGGTGATTTAGCTGAGTAAAAGCCCAATATGAACTATAAGCTAAAAATGGCCCAGATCAAGAGTACTCTTTCACTCCATAGTCTATACTGCTAAGACCTAACTGCCAAATATACTTAACTCCTACCTTATCTCAAAATTCTCAAGAGGCAGCTCATAGGGATACATGAAACCCAACAAGAGAACATAAATTTAAAGATGTGAAAAGAAAAACAATGGTAGGGATATAGAACGAACCATAGCTAAAAAATACACACTATAAAGACAAACATTAGGTCAGTTATACAGGGTTCCTTTGACAAAAAGAGATCAGTGGTCTTTAAGGAAAAATAACTATTCTTAGAACAAAGATCAGGCAAACATTTCTCCCAAGAGGACCCATAAAAAGAACATTATGTAATAAATGGCATAGTTCCTTACATAAAATCCTTAGTGTACACCACAAAACATTTCACATAGCTGTTTCTTATTGTAAGTGCCAGCACAGATCAACAGCATCACACCAAAGTAAAATTTAATAAAATAAAACTCTATAGTGCACCAATACATTGTGGCACAGGATCCCTGCTGATCAAGAGACAGCTGTAAAAGCAGAAGGGAGGGGCTAGGTGGATGGATACATGGACTATAAATACTACAAGTTATCCCCTCTAAATACTGTTTCTCCTAGCTGAGATTCTGAGAACCACAGTGTGGCATCGGTTTGTTATTGATTACATGCTCGACAAGTGCCTGAAGTGTAGTTTTTCTACACTTCTTGTTAAATACAGATCTATATGACATAATGGATAATCAAATGGGCAGAAAGTTGACCTTATCTTGAGGTGTCTATCAAAGACAGGACCTTGAATAAAAGAATATCCCACGTCAGCCTGGAATCAGCAGTTTGTTCTAGCAATATTTGTAAAAAAGACTTTCCCCATTGAATTAATTTAGCACCTTCACTGAAATCAATTGACTGTACACACACGTCTATTTCTGGACTCTATTCTCTTGAATTGATCTGTTAGTCTATCTTTACACCAATAACCACACTGTCATGATTACTACAGCTTTATAAGTCTTGAAATCAGGTAGTTTTATGTCTTTCAACTTTGCTTTTCTTTTTCAAAATTATTTTGGCCTTTCTAGGTCCTTTTCAAACAGTTACTTTTAAAACAAAAATTTTAATCTACTGTCCAAATTATATAGGACAATGACCTACAGTGCTATTAAGTGACTAAAATGATGAAAATCATCTAAGCATTAATATATCTCTAGCTCTCTCCACCTAAAGTATTAGAGCTAAAAAAATTGTTGTGACTATGTTTGAGATCAACTCACGTGCATCAAGATAATTATAAATAAGCTTCCAGAAAAGTATACAAGCATCACTAGCTGGTGTGCCCATACTTACCCTGATTCAGTACGATTCGGCAAGGCTGGCACTGACCCCCATGGCACAGCTCAGCACAGTGGTGCTGACCACAATTCAAAACATTCCCACATGGGTTGGAACAGTGAACTGAGATGGCCTGACCACAGCGAGCTGTGTGCCTGTAAAGACAGCAGATGGACACATTAGTTTAAAAGTTCCTGTTTAACAGTTAAACTAATACTGAAGCTCAAATCCTCCCCTCAAAACCTACTAAACCTAAAAAAAAGACCCAAAACCTACTAAACCTTTCTCTACACCATTTCCCCCATTTTTTTATGTTTCCCTCCTCCAATCCTTATTTCCTCTACTATTCTCCAATTCCCTTTCTCTTTTTCACCTCCTTTGCTTTCTGTATTTCCCTCCTGCCTTTCTCTCTCCCCTATTTAAGGACCAGTAAAGAATTAGACTATTCCTGAGTATTTGTTGTATGTGATTTCATCTCTGAGTTCTCATGAAACAATATGCGAGAGGGGAAAGTGCTCTTGGATGAGGGGGAAGATTTGGGTTCAAGTCCTAGCTCTGCCTTGAGCTCCCACAGGACCCAACAGACTAGGGTGATGGGGCTGGTGGCTATAACGTACGTACTCTGACTGAAAGCACAATAGTATTTTCCTGGGACCCAGTACGCTGGCATTTTATGCAGCTATAATACTTAGAACAAACTGTACATGACTTTGACTCAAGGGTGGGGAAATCATTCGGGGTTTGTTCTAACAACATTTGATTTGACTGATTTATTGGCTAGAGAAGGATACAAGGCCAGTGCTTCTAGATAACTGTCTTCAGGTCTCTTTCAAGGCTCATGACTTAGAGCTTGGAGTGTGATTCTATCTCCTACCCATACCCCAACTACATATTTTGTTTTTAAAAGTCACTGCTATATACACAGACGATCAGTTTTCAGCACTCAGCAAAATAACGTTGTCATAATCATTGTGCTCCATTACGCTTAGCACCATGGCTAACATCAACCCCCATGAGGTACTATTATTTCTACATTATGAGAAGGAAAATGAAGCTCAGAGAGACCAAGCAACTTTTCCAGGGTCAACAACCAGTAAGCTGTTGTTGATCACACCCTGCTCTTTCTGACCAGAGCCCCTACGTGTGACCCTCAGGTCACACTGCTACCCTTGCCAAGTCCAGTAAATGCTAAGTGAATACAGTGAGTATCTTCATCACTCTGAAAACTGGCATGATCCTATCTCATCTGGTGGTTCAGAAATCATTTTAAGATCTAACTGGGGCTCAGAAGCACCTCACAGCTATCAGTGATCCTTGCACTAGTGACGTGGGAAAACTTATAATGGCAAGAGGGGGTACCATTTATTTAATATTTTATTGTGTTTTATGTGAAAGTTTACATAGCAAATTAGGTTCCCATTTAACAATTTTTATACAACTTGTTCTGTGACACTGGCTACATTTTTCACAATGTGTCAACATTCTCATTATTTCCATTCTTTTTGTTCTATCTCCATTAATCTAGCTTCCCTCTCCCTGCCTCTCATTTTTGTTTTAGGGTGAATGCTGACCGTTTGGCCTCACATAGTTGATTATTTAAGGCGGCACAGTATTCAAGGGTGATATTGTTTATTTTATACGCCAATCTATTATTCGGATGAAAGGTGACCATCAGAAGTGGCTTCAATTCCAAGTTTAAAGGGTATCTTAGGGTGACAGTCTCAGGCGTTCCTCTAGCCTCCATCGGTCCACTAAGTGTGGCCTTTATTAGGAATTTAAGTTTTGTTCTATGTTTTTCTCCCTTTCTATCCGGGATCTTATACTGTGTCCTTGGGCAGAACAGTCAGTAGTGGTAGCCAGGCACTGTCTAGTTCTTCTGGTCTCAGGCTACACGAGGCCATGGCTCATGTGGACTATTCGCCCTGTGGACTAGTTTCTTCTTTGAGTCTTTGGTTCCCTTCATTCTCTTCTGTTCCAGACAAGTAGAGACCAGTAGTTGTATCTTAGATGGCCGTTCACAAGTTTTTAAGACTACTCACCAAACTAGCATGAAGAACATTATCTTTATGAACTATGTTATGCCAACTGACTGAGTTGTCCCATGAGACTATGGCCCCAAGCCTTCAAACCCAGGAAAACAATCCCGTGAGGTGCTTGGTTATGTCTATTATATGGTTTATTATATGTTGTTGTTAAGGGCTGTCAAGCTGGTTCCAACTCATAGCGACCCTATGTACAACAGAACAAAACGCTGCCTGGTCTTGCATCATCTTCACAATTGTTGCTATGTTTGAGCCCATTGTTATAGTTACTGTGTCAATCCATCTCACTGAGGGTCTTCCTCTTTCCACTGACCCTCTACTTTACCAAGCATGATGCCCTTCTCCAGGGACTGGTCCCTCCTGATAACATGTCCAAAGTATGTGAAACGAAGTCTTGCCATCCTCACTTCCAATGAGCATTCTGGCTGTACTTCTTCTAGGACGTACTTTTCGTTCTTCTGGCAGTCCATCGTATATTCAATATTCTTCGCCAACACAATAATTCAAAGGCATCAATTCTTCTTTGATCTTCCTTATTCACTGTCCAGCTTTCGCATGCTTATGAGGTGACTGAAAATACCATGGCTTGGTCAGGTACACGTTAGTCCTTAAAGCGACATCTTTGCTTTTTAACATTTTCAAGAGGTCTTTTGCAGCAGATTTGCCCGATGCAATACATCATTTGATTTCTTGACTGTTGTTTCTATATATTATACATAAAACCAAACCAAACCCATTGCTGTTCAGTCAATGCGACCCATAGCAACCTCACAGGACAGAACACAACTGCCCCATAGGGTTTCCAAGGCTGTAATCTGTGGAGCACTGGTGGCGAAGTGGTTAAGAGCTCAGGCTGCTAACCAAAAGGTTGGCAGTTCGAATCCACCAGCTGCTCCTTGGAAACCCTATGGGGCAGTTAGTTCTACTCTCTCCTATAGGGTCGCTATGAGTTGGAATCAACTCGATGGCACACAACAACAAAACAATCTTTACAAAAGCAGACTGCCACAACTTTCTTCCGCGGAGCAGCTGGTGGGTTCAAATTGCTGAACTTTCAGTTAGCAGACAAGAGCTTTTACCACTATGTCACCAGGGCTCTTTGTGTGTGTGTGTGTGTGTGTGTGTGTGTGTGTATATATATACATATACACACACATATACATACATACACACACACATATATGTATATACATATGCCTACAAATACACCTATATATGCACACCGATATACCCGTATACTCACACATGACTTCCTATACATACATATGCATACATGTCTACCTATGTAGCCACACACATATTTTTTGGCTGTTATTACTGTTGTTGCAAAATTATGTTATAGCACTTACTGAAACTGTCCCTTACTCCTGTGTACTTCTTAGTGTCTCCCTTCATCTTGGACAAAAGCACAGACTTTACCCATATTGGGTACTGTCTTTCCCATCACCAAAAATAACAAGTGTCTACTATCTAGAAAATGATTCCTCCTCCCTCTCATCCCTGGTAACCACCAAGGAACTTTGCTTTGTGTGTATATCTGTTCTTGACTTTTAATAAACGTGAGACCATTCAATATTTGTCCTTTTGTGATTGACTTATTTCACTCAGTATAATGTCCACCAGATTCATCCATGTTATGTTTCACAGACTCATTCTTTATAATTGTGTAGTATTCCATTGTGTGTGTGCACTACAATTTGTTTATCCACTTCATCTGTTGATGGGCACTTAGGTTGCTTCCATCTTTTTGCTAGCGTGAATAATGCTGCAATGAACATAGGTGTGCATATGTCTATTTGTCTCACTGCTCTTATATCTCTAGGATATACACCAAGTAGTGGGATACTGGATCATAAGGTATTTCTATTTCTAGCTTTTTGAGGAAGTGTCATACTGTTTTCCGTAGTGGTTGTACCATTTTACACTCCTATCAGCAATGTATAAGAGTTCCAATCTCTCCACAACTACACCAGCATTTGTTTTCTGTTTTTTTTGATCATTGCCATTTTTGCAGGGGTTATTTATTCTTTCATTCAACAATACTCACGATAACCTCAGAGATGACAGGTACTGTCCTAGGCACAGGTAAATGGTCCCTGTCTACTGGACCTTAGTAGGCCTGGGTTCAATTCCTGGTTTTGCCACCCACTAGAGTGACAGAGGAGCCCTGGTGGCACAGTGGTTAAGAGTGCAGGCTGCTAACCAAAAGGTCAACAGTTCGAATTCACCAGCCGCTCCTTGGAAACCCTATGGGGCAGTTCTACTCTGTCCTATAGGGTCATTATGAGTCGGAATCGACTAAATGGCACACAACAACTAATCTTTTAAGGAGCCCTGGTGGCACAGTGGTTAAGCACTGGGTTGCTAACCAAAAGGTTAGTGGTTTGAACCCACCAGAGGCTCCACAGGAGAAAAGACCTGGCAATCTGTTCCCATAAAGATTACAGCCTAGGAAATCCCATAGGGCAGTTCTACTTTGTCCTATAGGGTCGCTATGAATTGGAATCAACTCAACGGCATACCATCACACCACCACCACCACCACCACCACCATAATCACAATAACTTCTTACTTTATAAATTCACAAGTAAGCCATCAATGTGAAAACTGCAGTCTTCTCTGGGGTGAATTTCTAACCTACCTGGTCCGTCCACACTCACATGTTTTAGTCATGAAGGCAGGGCAGGGTGGGCAAGGCCCAGGATGGCAAAGACTGAAAAAGAAAGGCTTCAATGAGTAAACCACACCTATGTATCCAAACCTGAACAAAGCTGCCCCAACTAGGTGCTACTGTGCATATGACAACAAATAAACATGCTATGAAATGTTTTAGTATTTGTCTAAAGTTGATTAAACTGTTTAAACAAAGATACCAACAATTTGTTCTATAGAAGTATCTGATAGCACTGTCATCTTAGAAAATTTAACCAGAAACAAGTCAAAATGTTGGTTTCATTTGGGTCTGACAATGACATTTTCAAATATGGTCCAAGCCCTTTTATAGCAGTGTGTGGGGACAAGAATAGCTTGCCACTCATGTGAATAGCAGGATGGCCAATGAAGTCCTTTAGAAGATCAGACACTGAGCAAAGTAAGAACTCAAATCTACAAGGTCTATGAAAAGTATAGACATTTTCTCATCAGCTAGTAAAGTAATAACCAGGTGATGTGATAACATGGGAACAGCGAAAAGAAGGCTGACATGAGGGTCAGCATACTGGCGAATAACACAGGGAAAGAACAAAGGGAAATGGGCCTCATGGAAAGAAATGGGCTTAGATATGCTATAGTACCAGAAGTAGACTGCTGAATAGAATGTGTTTTAGAGGAGCTAGGTTATACTACAGTAATGAGACTGACGGAAAAAAGCACAAAACTGAATTTGTATATACAAATAAGCACCATCCTCTTCAGTGCAGATATCCTGGTCAATTACATACTAGTTCAGAAACACTACTACTTAAAGACTTTTTGGGAACTTCCATGACAACTTTTTTCTTGGGGGTCGGGGGAAGGAGAGGGGCATTTTAAGTGGCGGCAAATCAATCCTTTGGGAATTAAAAGGCAATCAGAGCCACATCTGATTAATCAGGTGGGTAACAGAATTTGGTACAAAAACCAAGTGTGCCTATAAGGTGGCCTGGCTGCGTTTTTTAAGCGACTCCTAAACCATCTGTGATAATTCTCAAATAAGCATTTCAAGTGTGCTCTAAACACTGAAAACAATCCAGGAATAAGTCTTCTAAGGTGACCCATTTTGACAGACTGCACCCAGAGGAAATATAAGTTAAGCACATTTCTTTAAATATGAGTATCATTATTTAAGTTATATTTTGCATGGTATGCCTTGATCCTTTCAGGTGAAATAATTTTCATGGTTGCATATTTAAATAACTTTAGACAGTTAAATTGCTGGTCAGGTGTGGGTGACTCCATGCTGTTTCAAATTTCCCAAGGCCTGGATTCAATCCCAGGTTTTCTTAACCTTTACAGCAGTGGTTCTCACCACTGGCTACATATCAGAATCACCTGGAGAGCTTTTAAAACTGTAGCCACTCAGATTCCATCCCCAGAGGTTCTGACTCAATTGCTCTGAGGCAGAGACTGGGCACTGGTGTTTTAAAATGCTCCCTAAGTGATTTTAATATGTAGCCAGGGTTGAGAACTACTGCTCGAGAGAATTTTATATCCTATGGGTACAACCCAAATTAGAGAGAGAGAGGTGCCAACTACGGCTTCTGAGTCCTGATAAAGACAAATGAGAGAAACCCAAAACTTCAAACATGCTGTAGACCAGAAAGGTGCTATCGGGGAATGGGGTTCAGCAATCTCTAGGGTTCTGGCAGGAGTAAAAAGACAGTTCTTAAGTCAAGTGTAGGATTTCCAGAGCCACAAAAGAGCAGGTTTTAGGCCTCCTTTCCCTTCAGACATGGTGTTTACCACCCGATATGTATCCCTAAGACTTTTGATGTTCTCTGGTAATCAGGGGCCCATTTCTGCTGAAAGCTCTGGAAAGATAGTCCATGCAGAGGGTTAATTTATCATTACCGAATTTACTTTAAATGCTAACTAAAGGAAGGAGTAATTTAAGTAAACAGTCCTGGGTTCTGAGGAAGGACCTATGCAAACAGTCAAGGAGAGACGTGAGGTTCACTGCCCAGCATATGACAGGCCATGCTGTTCAGCACAGTCTGAAACAGCTCTATTCCCTTGACAATTCCCAGCACCACTACCACCACACCTTGATCCCAAGGCCTCTAGTCCAGAATCCACCTCTGCTCCATGCAGTAGAAGTGAGGGCTTCAAACTGGTTTAGTCATGGCTAACAAAGAGAAACCGTAACAGACTCAAATTTTTACAATATGGGTAATTCGGAATGATAACTGGAACAGGAAAAATTATGAGTTGACGGCCTAGAATGGGAGACTCAGAAGTGGCATAGTGAGCCCTTTCAGGAGCCTGATGCGTGAGGCTGGATTACTGGAGGGTGGAGGGCAACCCATGTTCAAAGTGGAGTGGTCGGTCGCGGGGCACCGCTGTTCTGACTCTGTTCAAAATCTAACAGGCAAAAGATTCAGTTGCTATGCAATGCATATGCTGCCCTTGTTTTCTAAGAGGGAAATTAGGTTTCTAGCAGGACTTTGACCCATAACTTTTCCAGATCCAGTTACCGTTCTGGTTCACCCAAATTTTAAAAATCTGGGTCTGTTCCAATTTTCCTTCCTTGTCCATGACTGAACCACGAAGAACCGGCTCAAAGTCCTGGTAGAAGCACCAAGACAACACTGATATCTGTCTGTTATACTCTGAAATGTGGGTAATAAAAGCAACAGTTACCATTGACCACTTAGCATGTGCGAGGCCCTATACCAAGGCTCTTAGGTTAATTAAGCCATTTAATATTCATAGAACCCTATGAGGTTAAGTATTATTACACTTACATCATAACTATTTTACAGATGTAAAAACTAAGGCCTAGAGAAGTTAAGTAAGTTGTCTAAGGTCACGTAACTATTAAGTGACTCAAATCCAGAAATTAAACTTTGTCTGTGGTCAAAGCCTGTAGAAATTTGTTACTTGTAACTGATCAACTATTTCTCAATCACTGTGTATTTCTCTTATTTGCAAGCTGACCGAATACATTCTAAGGCTAGCTACTCACATCCTAAAAACAATGCCTATCAGGGCCCTACACAACTGCCTTTCCCCAGATAGAAGCTTGTCCGATACACTCTCCTAAACCCAGATATCACTGAGGGATAAAATATCTGAGTCTCATGTCTTCTTAGAAGCCATTAATATAGCGGGAGAAGCAATGGCTTTGGAAGTCCCAGCTCCAACATGTCCTAACACTGTGACCTTAGGCAAGATGCTTGGCCTTTCTGAGCCTCATCTGTAAAGTGAAGATGAAAAACACCTATACCTCACTGTTCTATGGATTCAAAGAGTTAACTTATGCAGAGTGCCTGGCACAGAGTAGGTGCTCAGTAAATGGTACCATAATGCCCTTCACCCCATCCTATTACATGCTAACCAGATATGTATACTCAGGGCCACCAACACAGCATGTCCACCAGGAATCCCCAAGGGTCTAGCGTTCCAACTTACAGGTTACAGGAATGTGGGCAGTCCTGGCCAGGCTGTTTCTTTCTACAAACCTCACCACAACTATGTGGAATTTCATTTCTGCTCCATTCAGGATTCTTTACCTTCCCTAAAACATATCAGATCAGAGAGTCAATGGTACAAACTTCAACCGCATCTTCAACTTTAATGAAATAGTACAGTATAGCTAGACAGCATGAAACTTCAGTATGGTTTTCATGAGTTAACAAATCATCCCACATCCTAAAATAAAAGATGAATGGAATGCTACTCATCAAAAGCTTCACTGAGTATGATAAATTTTAATTCAGGATTACCCGTTAAAAATTTTTCTCAAAGTCATTTTTACTCATGAAAATGCCACTTTGACTAATGGACACATTTAATGTAATGAAAAAAAATCTACAAGATAAGCCTTCTGTACTGGGCCCCTGGATTGACACGAGAATATCTGCTGAAGGATCAGAAAGAGGTAATAAGGGAGAGAGCAAAGGGAAAAGAAATAAAGGCAGTGGGAGATGGAGGACATAAACTCCCTGAACAGTCGGGACTCGCCTATAATACAGCTAGAAAGTAGGCATCTTCTGAACATCTTGCTTGGGTTTTCTGAGCCACCTCAAACTGACTACATTTACAGCCAAAGTTAGCATCTTCCCTCATAAACCCCCTTCCTCTTAAGCATTCTCTATTCTGTCAGTCACACCATCACTGTCAGTCACACAAACTCAAAAACTAGAGTGATCCCTCACTCCTCTTTTACTTTCTACACTCTACTTAATCACCAAATTGACTTTTCCTACATAGTGTCTTTCTCACCAAATCTCCCCTTCTACTCCTGCTCTTGCCTCTGTACTGGCCAAAACCTTATTTCCTAACTCTTACAAAAGCTTCCTTGCCTCTGAATAAATTGCTCTGGTTTTCCCCTACCACCTTTAAATGGCTCCACATCTTTTTCCTGACTCTAAATGATGGGTTTTTTTCTTTCCCTGCCAGGGTTCTGCATTAGGCCCTTTTCTCACTCCTTACCCTTACATCCACTGGGGTCTCACCTATGACTCTCAACTGCAACTATCATCCTTAAGTTTTGATCTCTCTCCAAGTATTTCTAACTGCCTGTTGGACATCTAAGGAGCCCTGGTGGAGAAGTGGTTAAAGCGATGGACTGCTGACTGAAAGGCTGGCGGGTCAAAACAACCAGTGGCTCTGAAGGAGAAAGATGTGGCAGTCTGCTCCTGTACAAATTTACAGCCTTGGAAACCCTAGAGAGTTGCTGTGAGTCAGAATCGACTTGATGGCAGTGGGTTTGGTTTTTGGTGGTTGGACATCTGTCACTAAATGTCCTGCTTATTCCTCCAACCCAACATTTCTAAACTGAATTCATTGTCCCCACCAAACCTGGTCCTCTTGACCCGCCCTCTTCTGTCCTTTATGTCCCCATTTCCAAAAACATGAAACTTTGGAGCTACATTTGGGTTCCTTCCTTCCCACTGCTGTTAATTTCTGTTTACCTGTGAAATCTTCCACCCCTTCATTTCTATCCCACCCTAACACACATTATAGACTTGTATTACTCTTTATCTGGATTATTATAAGTTCTCAAATTATTCAGGCCCCCATATACTCTACTCACTGCCGTCAGACTAATCTTCAAAAAGAATCACACTGATACCCTCCGTGGCTTCTCGCACCCTGACAAATGAAGCCCCAACTTGTAAGTCTGACATCAAGGGGTCAACCCACTTTCCAGAAATCTCCCACTCCTCCATTTTCATGGATCCTGGGCTCCATAATTGGACGACTCCCTCTTCTCCCAATAGATCCTAAGCCTTCTTGGTTTTGAACTTCTATTTCTGCTATTCTGTTCACTAAATCTTTCCTCCCGTCAAGATTCAGCCAAGTTTTCAAGCCCAATTTAATTCTACCTTCTTCATAAAACCAAAACCAAACCTACTGCCATCCAGTCGACTCCAACTCACGGTGACCCCAGGTGTTTCAGAGTAGAACTGCACTCTGCAGTTTATGAAGGCTTCCCTTAACCAACCAGCCAGAAATCATAACCCATCCCAAAGATGTCCCACAGCACTTTGTACTTCTACTGTAAGATCAAGTTAATTGTGTCTTAACTCTTAAGATTGTAAGCTCTGGGAAGTCAATAAATAGTTTTATTCCCCTGTTGTTTGTTCATGGTGTCTGGTACATTAGTAAGTTCTCAATATATAATATTAAATTAATGGTCTACTGGAAGAGCAGAGTGGGGCAGTCATCAAGTAAAAAAAAGCCCATTATTTGCATTCTCATATCATTTTACCTCTCTCAGGTCATCTTGACCTTCACCCCACACTGTCTACCCTCTTATGGTTTCTTATATAGTTTGTCAGTGAAGACTTTAAAGATTTTAAGTCCATTGTGGTCCTTTATGTTGAAAAATCCTTTAAAATAAGGTATTGGTATTGGTCCTATTTGCCCAATTTTCCACTCATCTCTGCCTCTAGTTTCATGCTGCCTTTCCAATACATTCACAAATATTCATTTCTTCAACTAATATTAATTTAGTATATATTAAGGCTCAGATTTGGGCAATAAAATACATAAAACCAGTAGATTCCAAATAAAAGATTGGCCAAATAGAAGAGGAGATAACAAAGGGAAATTTCCTGGAAGAGGATGTTTGGGGTAAGATCTTGAATGATACAGTGGATGAGGATTTAAAGAAGGGGGAGAACATTCTAGATAGTAGAGGAGTTCACCAAGGGATTGAATTTAGACAATAAAAGAGTTGATGGTCAATGATCAATTCTAGGTAAAAGCTCCTAGTTAAATGATAGGAGAGGAGACATGAGCAAATTAGAAAAATAAGGATGGCATGCAGAAAAGAACAGGAAGAGCTAGTCATTTCAAGAAGAGAATGGTCACAGGCCTTAAGGGCTGTTGTGCTGCCAAAAATGCTAAGAACTTATAAACCAGCACTGGATTTAGTCAAGAAAGAGTCATTGATGACTTCTCAATCCAGTTTCAGCGAGGCAATGAGGACCGAAGCAAAAATACAATGGATCAAGGAGGAAGATGAATGGTTAAGAAGCAAAATCTGGAAAATCAACAATTGGATAGAAAAGGTTAGCCATTAAAAGACAGGCAGGAAAGAAAGAAAAAAAAAAGAAGACATGCAGGAAATAAGCTAGTAGCAGGAATGAGCATCTGGATCACAGCAAGTTTTTTCTTAACACATAGGGAAACTGAACTATTCAAAAACAGGAAGAAATATCCTATAACGAGGGCACAAGAATAAAATTTGTAATGCTGGTTTTTAAAAAAACTATATATTATGAAGACCAATAACTGATTTATTGAATTAAAATAAAGTATACTTCATCACTACTCTTACAGTGTTCAAGTCTGGAATATAAAAGCTTCTACAGCTAAGGGTGAGAGGGAGACCACGGGTATGCCTGCGTCTGCCATCTGGTCAGCTCTGGGCTAAACTAAGACCAAGAAGACCAGCACTATGGCTCAAAAGCAGCATGAGGCTGGTGGGCATGATGAGAAGGCTCATCTCCAGAACAGCCTGACACAGCATAAAGCCCTGTGATTATCAGTCTCATGGACCACATGATATGATGTCTTATAGCTATGAAGACTTATTAGTAATTTCTAAAACATGCCCAGCAACCACCTCTCTGAGACTGGGAACTAAAGAACAATGTAAGAAGTGAAAAAGACTCTAGTGCATGGAATCAAACTCACCACAGAAACAAGTGTAGGTATTAGGAACATGGGCAGAAACATTCTGACAGGCAGGGCACCTCCAACCACTCTGGCCATCTATCAAGAAAAATTGGAATAAACCAAATTAATTTTCTTTCAAAAGCACATGTAATTTATAAAAATGTAAAACTATAGGAAGCCATAAAGTTGAACCAGTGGTAGTAATTTCAATGTTAAGTGTATTAGATATTTAAGTAACAAACGTTCACAATACTGAATACTTCGCTTACGTACTGCCATTTGGGCTTGTATTTATAAAAACTTTCAGATATAGTAAATAAACTGGGTATTAGTTTTGTTCTATTATTTCTAATGTCAAGGTAAACATCATCTGTATCTTGGCTTAAAAAAAAAAGGATAAAATATTTGAGTACATACAGAGAAATCCAGATGTCTTGAATTAGAAAGCCACCATTCAGAAAGCGTATTACTAATAACATTTGCATTATCCATAAATATTAGTATACTTTGGGAAAAGCCCATAAAATACTATGAAGAATATCTGTGAAAGGCAAAACAGTTTGAATATCCTAAAGGGAAATTAAACAATAATAGTTCCTTCTGGGTGCTTTCTATAAATTTTTTAAAGCACGTTATAGAAGAAATGCTTTCCATGATTGCTACTTGCATAAAAGCTACCATTTTCAATAAAAGTGCTTGACTTTACTGTATCCTTAATATATTTCAATACTGTTATGTTAAGCTGGTTTATTTAAGATCTACAGCTTAATACTGGTCATTTGAAACATGTGACCAAGACAGCATACTCTGCCGGTAGATGAAATATTCAAGAGGAATTAAGCAATATTTTTAAAGCTAGGTTTAAAACCTAAACATGAAATGAGTGAGGAAAACTACTCAGAAGAGAGAAAAGATTAACCTGCTTGCGATGCTGGAGACCTTGCCCATTTCTTTATGCAGCTCAAATGAAACACATGATAACAACTCTGACAACTCCACACTGGGGCCATGACACGAACCAGTTCACAGCACACCATGCACTCATATTTTTCTGTAGTTAGCTGTTCAATTAGAGAACCTGTTAAAAAAAACAAGAGATAAACTCAGACACAGGAAGTCATTTATCACTTTAGTCAACTGAGGGTCAGCAAGGCACTTAGGAGTCTAAACCCAGAGGTCTTAAGGGATGTCTGATTCTTAGTAAGGTGGTTGTTCAGAGTTTGAGGCCAAGAAAGGGCTGGAGTATGCTGAGGTAGAGGCCTTAGGAAGTAAAAATTCAGATGGAGACCCCCACAACTGAGAAAACATTCCCAAGATATTGCCCAGGAACCTACCAGTAGCCAAATGCCCCTCATAACACAGCTTGAGCATCCACAGGGGCACTGCACTGTAGGGTCTTGTCTTGCCTCCTCTGAATCCAGGAGGCTCCAAATCCACCAGATTTATGGACTCAGGCTAGGAAGCGGCTTGTGAAACGGCAGTGATCAGCTGCAAAAAGCCTAAACCCAGATAGGTTCCAACAACCCAAGGGCAGGAAGATGGTTCTAGCAGTTGCCCTGGAAGTCTTTCATCATTCACTCAACAAATGTAAGCTTGGCACCTAACACAAGCCCCGTGCTAGGGTTACCAGACTGAAGGAGACAGAGTCCCTGGCTTCAGGAGCTCACCATCTAGTGAGAGAGACCAGTGTAGAGCAGCATACAATCCTCACAGATTTATTCCTGAATACACTCACCCACTTCCGGATTCTTTCCCCAAATCCACCTCAGTAATGTCTTTCTAGATCCC